CTCACAGCTGAGGATGCATCACAGCTGCAGTCTAACAAAATGCCTTGATCTCACACAGCTGCCTCTCTTCCCTCCTGGGACTGAGAAGGAAACCAAGGATGTGTCAGTTCTCAGTCAGGTCAAGGAGATGAAAGCTTCCTCTGCCTCTCTAACTCCTCTCTTCTTCCTGCCCATCTTTAACTCTTTGAGTCAGGAGCCTTGATTATCTGGGTTACTCCTGAGTATTCCTCTTGCTTCATTTGAGGATCTGTCATACTTCACTTCTATCCAATACTAACTTTGGGTTAGTATACCCACTGGGTGTAGTCTGTGCACAGTATCTTTCCTATACCACATCTCAGAGTTGGCCCTTTTGATGCATCTAAAGCCTTAGGGAGGGTCACCTCATATCCTTGCTGCTACAAAGCTAGGGATCAAGCATGAAAGCAATTGAGCTTCCAGCATTCTCTCTACTTCTCTGCAAAACAGCCCTAACTATTCTACTTATAATTGATGTCATGGAAGTCTGACAGTGCATATAGCTCATATATGGGGTTTGCTTCTGGGACACTAATTTTCCCAGACAAGAGACAAGCTTTACTATCATATGTCCCAAGCTGTGACCACTAACAAAATTTTCAACAGTTGAGAAAGTGATTAAAAGAAGAAAACTAACTTTTTGCAATTTAAAAGGCTATACATTTTTCCTGTGTTTTTTTTTAAATTAAAATATCCTTTGCAGTATGAGGTACATTTTAAGAACAGTGTTTATTTGTAATGATTTTACATGGCAAAATAAAACTTTCCATCTTCTGGAACTATTTCCACAGTGCTAAGTATGTGGATGTGAATCCTTTTAGGGTTATGAAATAGCTTAGTGCTTCATTGTTCTTCACTCAACCAAATCCATTTTGTTCAAAGGAATAGTGTTTGGAGAACACTGATTTGTTTAATAATTGCACAATTTTCTAATTCTTATCTATTTACATTGGAGGTGGTGTGTTCTTCTTTAGGGTGAAGGAGAAAGAAGATGCTATTTTATATCCAACTTGGCAAGATACATATTTATTAGAGATTCTCAATTTCAAAGAAAAATAAAAGAACACACCAGAAATAGTCAACTTTGTCTGAAATGGTAAGCTGAATGCAAGAGTTATTATGGTAAACATTAAAAAAACATTTATTCTTACCTAATGAAGATATAGCCCCATTTATCAAATTAGAAAAGAGATTTTGAAAGTTTCAAAGTTACAGGTAGTAAATGGTCCAGCAGGACATGAGTCCATAGTTGTTGAAATGCATAACCCAAGTTTTTTACATTATTAAATAATTTTAAAAGATATTTCAATTCTTTGGAATCTAGTTTATAGGAAATTTATCAATAACTTTTACTTTAAATTAGATGAATAGTAAAAACAATATGCTTACCCTTGTTTCATTTGTCATCGCTCATCTGCCTTTTACCAATACAACGAAAATCATGACTGAATAATGCCAATTGGACAGCTGATCCAAAGATGAATGGTTAATTCAAAGAGTACACAAGTAAGGGGGACTGTCTTTCTTTAGGATGCTAATTAAATAAACAGAGCATCCAGTCACAGGATCAATGTTAGGACATTTGGACATTTTCAAAAGATTTAGTAAGAATAAGTTGCATTGTGAGTTTATTATTTAAAGTAACCCACAGATTTCTGAATTTTCTGTTCCTACATTTATTTTCATATTGTCATTTTTTATAAATGCTATAATTAGGAGTGAATTGTTTTATGTTTTAATAGGATAGATAAAGAAAGAAGATATAGACCTCATAAAAATCTGGCTCAAATTACAAGCTAAATTGAAATACTTTTAGCCAACCCAATTTGGCCAATGTCTATGGAGAATTCATTACTTCCTCCCACTGTTAAGATATATGTTTATTTTCTCAATATGCTATGCTCTAGGAAAATGTAATATGATGCAATTCTTATAAATTATAGTTAGAAACCCAAACAGTCAATATATCTTCCTGAAATTCTCAAATTTTCCTATGGAGTAATTATTCAATTCTAATGTCACATTTTTTAGTTGTTAGCTTTAAAAGAACTGTTTAAAAAGTTGACATTGTTTAACTTTGTTAGAAATAACTCAGTGGCAAACACAGTCAAATATTTTAATTAAAAATATTTGTTTATAGTAACATTGTTTAGATAAGTTGACAAAGGACTTTGTCCTTTAACACTGCAGCTTCTCTCTGCTAATTAAGAGCTCTACCAAGAATAATCCCAAAGAAAACATTAGCTTTTGATACAGAGAGGCATTTACAATTCTTATCCCAACGTGCACAGCATTTTTTCTTTATTATAATGCAAACTTCATGTTCAGGTATCTAGAGAACTTAAAACTGAATTGCCTTTTAGTATGAATGAATTTGCCCATTTCTTTTTCCTTGCTCTTTTTCTGCTTTTACTCCATATAATCATCACAGAGAAAAAATGTTTTGAGCCTCTACCCTGAGTCAGGTATCTCAGACATATAATGAGTGTTCTCAGACTGACTGATTTTTCTGCAGATAAACATATCAAGGCTCTGAACAGCTTGCCAAAATCATAAAGTGATCAGGAGTTTGAGAGCAGCTGAAATGTGAATAGAGTGGTTTTTTTTTTTTAAAGGCAAGTAGATGTGGATTGCTCTTCCTCTTAAGAAATGTATTTTTTTCATTTTGTAAATTATGTGCAATAAATGTCTTACCACTCTGCAGTATACCTGAAACTAATATTGAATGTTAACTGTAACTGAAAAATAAAAACAATTTTTTTAAAATAAATGTATTTTCTGTCTTAGAAATATTTTACCAACATTTTTGATAACGTATTTAAATGTTTGGGTATGCATCCATGAAGTAATAAAGACTAAAAGTAATTTGGATGAGCCCATTGCTCATTGGAACTCAATTCTCTTAGTTAAATATGGTTCTCCAGGGCAGATCATTACTACAATTATAGCTAATTCTTTTTTATGACTCAGTAAAACTAGGTATAATAAAGGAATGATGTATACTCTGGGCCCTTAGAAATAAAGTAACACGGAAAATATTCTCATCTAAAAATAACAAAATAAACAAAACAACAACAAAACTATCATGAGACACCCAAGTCAATGAACCTTGATGTTTCTTTTCTAACACTGCACTGTTCTGTTTAGTTTTGAGCAGTAGGTTTGGGCCTTTCTCATGATAAACAATTGGAAAACTGTTCTAATGATTTTATCAGAGTCAAGCTTTATGGGCCATTTATCATGCAGAGTAAAACTATACTTAAGAAAAATAAAGTTTAAGTGAAGTGACTGGACACGTTTTCATTTCTTAAAAACATCAACCTTTCATTGTTGATAATACATGGTAGGAATAATCATGAAGTATTTTAACCCTGTTCAGAGGCAAAGTGAAATTTAACTTGTACCACTTTTCTTGGGAACTCAGCCATTTCAGTAACTTCAGAAAAAGTTTACCAGCAGTAAGTATATGCATCAAATGGAGATTCTTTTGTTCAGATAGTTTCAACCTCATTGTTGTTTCTGCCTAAACCTATAATTCACATAATCTTTAAATGCTTATAGAAGGTTCTTTTGAACTGATAGTAATCTAATCTCCCCTGCAGTGATTAAACAAGTCAAAAAAAAAAAAAAAAGAATAAGAATCACAACCAGTAGAGTACCAGACTCACAAGAACAGGGACCATATCTGTGTTTTTCACTCCTTCCTCCCAAGGGCCTAGGAAAGATCCGACCCATCGTGGGCTCTCAATATATTTGAAGAATGAATGAATGAATCCATTGGAATTATCCTATAGTCTTTTTACAACCTCTCTATATACTTTCTATACACTTATTTGGGTTTCAAATAGCTATGCTATGTATGTTAGTATTGAAGAAGCTAATTTGGTTTTCAGCTATTAGTTAATATGTTTAATGTTTTCCTGGGTCTCTGTATGTAACTTATTTCAACTGTAGAAGTTAGTGGTAATTTTTTTCCCCTGCAAACTCCTGCTAGAAACCATGTTTTGAATGAATATAGGGTTTCTGAAAAAGGTCCCACTATGTTATGGGTTTCTTCCATAAGGAAATGCACCATGGTAATATTGTTCTTTGGGGAGGTTTTTCTTTTTCCTTTCAAATAACAAAATGTACCAAAAGAAAAGAGGAACATGAACCAGCTGCCATGGAAACTAAATTCATTCCCTTTTAGCCCATGTGCTGGGACTTCTAAACATTTGAAGATTTATCTTCAGAGTGTATTGCTCTTGAAATTCCCAGGCCAAATTTTTCTTGAAAGATGATAAATCAAACTGTATTTACAATGTTGGGCTCGAGATACATGCTCTGTGATTATATTGAATATTTACACCATGCTTTATAAAGAGTTAGTTTGAAACTTTCTAAAGAATATAAACAGCTAGAATACAAAATATCAACAATAAAGGCAAAGATAAGACCCAGAGATTAAGGGAATATTTTGGTATTTGAAAGATAATTTTTTATTATCAAAGTTCATTTGTTTTGCTTCTGATAATGCCGCATACTTTACAATTTAGTAATGTTTGGACTTTGTTGTCTGGACTAAGCCAAGAATAGAGAGATTTCCCAGGTTTTCTTAATGTCTAAGGTTTCATTTTTTAAAAAATCATCAAATTAAAATAAACCATCACTCTGGAATCACAGAGTCTAAGATATTGTTTTGTTTATAATTTTATTTTATAGAAGGGGGATTATGAGGCTGAAAAAAATTTTTTTTCAAGTGACTTGTCCAAGATTGCAAAGTGATAGAGCTGTGACTTACAAAAAAAGAAAAAGAAAAAAAGTCTCTTAACTTCATAGCTATTTCTTTCTATCCCACTTTGCTTCCTTTACTTCTCATTAGGTGGCACTGTCTCTCACATTTGCAAACGCAGAGATTAAAACTGAAAGTGCTAACCTCCCAGGGAACCCATTCCCAGAGTATAACAGATAAGGCAGGTAAAGACAGCCGGCCCTCCACTCACCCAAATCAGAACACTGGACAACTCGGAGATGGCACTGACAGCGGAAGGGACACACGGGCCCCATAGGCTCTAGATCACGAGCTCCAGGATGAGGCTCATCGATGCCTGCGCCAGAAGCCTCTTCGGCTGCCAAGAGGTCATAAAAGTCAAATATGCTTCGCTGTTGAAACGGTCCAGCCCAGGAAACTTGAGCAAGCAGGAGGAAGATGATAGTTGCCTTCATGATTTATTTCATGTATTTTCACAACCAAAGAACCTAGGAAACACACAAAAGGTTTACAAGAGTAGCCTTACCTAGTTTGTAAAACCTCACAGCAGAGCAGATGAACATAAAGTTCTATATCTAACTTAAATTATAGTTGTGTGTGTATGTGTGTGTGTGTGTTTGTAATTTATTAGGAAGCAGAACATAAGAAATCTATAAAAAATGTGATAAAGTACATTATAGACTAATTTTCATGGCTATTTACTTATGAAGAAAAATTTGAATATTATTTAAATCTGCTTGTTTTGAATTGTGGGTCTGAATTAAGACAACATATATATACACATCATTTACAAATTTTTATGGGTAAATCATACTGAAATTTTCAGCATTCACTCAACACAAGCCATGCCACAGTCAAATAAGTATTGTCTATGCACCTGAGAGACCTCTGATTCCTGCTTCAGAAATATCTCTGGAAGCCAATCTCATCTCTCCATGTTACTGTATTAACCTTGGTCCAGGCCATTCTCACCTCCTGAAACTATGGTAAAAGCGACCAACCGGTATCCGCCTTGAATATTCCCTCTACATCAGCCCATCTTCCACTCTGCTGCCAAGTCATCTTCTAAAAATTCAATTTAATTATATTCCTCTTCTACTGGAAACCCTTTGTAGACCTTATATGGCTTACCAATAAGGTCAACATCCACTGTACATGTAAGGCCATTGATAATTTGGTATCAACTGATATTATAGCCACATTCCTCCCCATTTTCTCTTCACTCCCTGTCCCCACTTCAACCCTGACCCTCAAAACTAATTGCTAGTTAAAATACCTACCCTGTAAGGATGTTGTAAAGATTAAACAAGATAGTGCACTTCACCGGGTTTTTCCCTGGCTCTTCCAGTCAGGATGCTGCTTTCTCCCTCTTCTGTGCTTGTTGCTCTTACCTCTTTTAAAGAACTTACCACATTATATTGTAATTTGTTTTGCGTGCTTTGTCTTTCCCCCAAAATCTCCACTAGAAGATGTACTCCTTCAGGGCGTGCCTTATTATTCTTTGTTTTGTACCCAGCCTTGCACAATATTTTGCACACAAATGACTCAGTTGACCATCAATTTATTAACACAAGTTATTCAATTTCTGCTAAGAAACCAGTCAGCCTGATTTTTTAAATACAATTATGTTTTCTTTTGATATCAAACTTCTAGCATAAGAAAGATATTGAGTACTTCAACTTGGTATAACCAAGAGTCACTTTAAAAAATTTCTATTGGATAGTTTCTCAAACTGATCATTTGAAATGAACCAATAAACACATATGGAAAAACCTGATTTTTGTATGACATATATCATTTTGTTTTACTATAACACTATTTGTAAAGAAACAAAAAGTTCAATTTTGACAAATCCATACAGTGTTTATCACTTCATTCTTTAAGTACGTATTTACATCTATGTTGCTAAATTGGTATTTAATCAGCTGAAGTGAACTAAATAAGGCTGACTAACTAAATTTTAATAAATCTGAATAACAGAAACTAGTTGATCATGTAGAGAGCAAGGAGTCTATTTCTGAGTTGACATATTTAAAATCGGCATTGAAACTGTTCTAAGTATTCCCAAAAGGTATTGCAGATATTATCTTTAGTCCCATCATCTTTATTTTGAACTTTACATTAATAAGAATCCACATTAAAGCTGTACATTTATATTTAGTACTGAAGTATGTGTAACACTGCACATATACAATATGGGCTTGTACATTTTATTTTAAAAATACTATGAAGACTCCTAGTCACACTGCCTCTTTAAGTTCAGTATCAGGTTTTCCCTAGGAGCCCATTCCCACTCAGTCACCGCATTGCTTTTTACCAGAGACCCTATTCTTTTGGCAGTGTTCCCTTGGATTGGATCTAAGGGAAGGGTTTTGTGTCTGTTTCACATTAAAATGCACAAAGTTTATGGTTTACCACAAGCCTGCTAGCCTTGCATATTTAATGTCTCCCATTTTTAGAAGAAAAATGTAGCAAAGTAATTGCAGATTTAATAAATAGCAACTAGAATTAATGCAGATGTCACTTTTTGATCTTTTCTCCAGAACAGAAAGTGCCTGGTTGTTTCACTAACCCACAAAAGGAAATGTTGAGCATAAGTTCAAGGAAGTATTATCTTTTATATTTATTTACTCTTGTTAAAATGGTGCATGTTCTCTATACAAAATTCTTTTTGGTTGAAACTGAACGCAACAGGCAGCTTATAGGTGCCGTGCGTGTGTGTGTGTGTGTGTGTGTGTGTGTGTGTGTGTGTGTGTGTGTGTGTGTGTGTGTGTGTGTGTGTGTGTGCGCGCGCGCGCGCACATTTTAACCCTGATTGTTCTGGGGAACACTACTAACATGTCCAGGAACTTTATACAAATTCCTCCACAAACTAACTTCTTTTAAACTGGTACCATAATACTTGAAGACTCAGCATCTTAAAACGACTAATGTGGGCAGTTGATATTAATGATTTCTTTAATCATCTCCTTCCTTCCTGAAGAAATCAGAAAAATAAACAAAAAACAACTGTTGCCCCTATAGAGACCAGGCAGCCTATTACTGAGATGATAGACTTTTAACATCTCATTAAACTGTTTTAAGAACTCTTAAAGGTGTGACTCTTTCCTAAAAGCTAATTGCTAAGAATAATGTCACTACTTCGCTAATACGTATTGCAATAGTTTACAAGTATTTTATCAAAAATAACAATCTCTGTTTCCTTAAACTACTTCAGCCCATTAAATTAATTTTTCATTCAGATCAGAGTTTGTGTGATGTCATTTATGCCTTTGGGGTGACTTTCCAAGTCAAAATGTAACCCTCAGGAGACAAATGAAGCTATAAATGCAGAGCAAAATTAGAATCCTCCTGAACTAGGTGAATTTTAAAAACCTCGATAATAAAAAATAATTTTAAAATAATAAAATTGTATTTATCCATAAATAAGAGCTACTATTGGAGGCATTTGGTTCTTTTCCTGGTTAAAAGAGCAACTGGAAGGAAAAAAACCACAGGTATTTACATCATCAAACTAAACAAGTGGTCATCATGTTACCCTGTTTTGCAATTAGAAAGAAAAATAACCTACACCCCCATTTCATAGGAAATGAAAAAATTCATTTGTATGGAAAATACTGACAGGGTCCTTTCTTTACCTTTAAGGGATTATGCAGCTAAATCTGATATTATTTTAGTTAGGTCTTTAATCATCAGCATAAATGTTTCCAATGTTTATTTTCACCTCTCTGGTGATAATTGTTATCTTTTTTAGATTGTAGAAATGTACACTAGGCTTTTACAACTAATGACCAGAGTTTACTTCTCTTAGGTTTTAAAAGTTCTTAAAATATACAAGAATTCAGGAAGGAAGTAAATCCTTACATATATAATGCAATATATATAATGCAACGACGAATAATATGCTAGTCTAGAATACTTTTCTACAAATACATTCTAAAGAGCTAAACATTTCATCAGTACAAATACAAATATATAAATATAGTCATGTTGTTAGGTTATAGACTTTTAATAAACATCTTTTTTCCCTTCAAGAACAAAGAACTAAAACAATACATTTAATCATTTAACCAAATATTTAACTTCCATTTTCAACAATACTGTTTTAAAATGCTGCACAAAGGTTTTTAAAAGTTTACCACAATTACTTTTTCTTTTCTTTTTCTCACCAAATAGTCTCTCAACTTGATAAAATTTTATTAGTCTGTAGCAGAGTTCAGGACAATTATTGAAAACCGTACCTTTTAATCCGGGGATTTGCCACAGGAGCCCTCAAAGCTGAGATGTAATTACACTAAATATTCGGCCCAAGCAAAAGAGTTTGCAGGTGTGGAAAGGAGGAGGGGGTAGGTGCTGCTCTGTGCCTGTCACTAGGTTGAAAATCTCCTGCTTCTACTCCATAGCCCAGATAAAAAATAAGGTTTCCCTCAATGAACACTACCCGGCTGACACCCACATTAGATCATATGGTAATGATATGTCTCTTGTATTGTAGCCAGAAATTTTATTGGCCTTTTTTTTTCTCCCCATTTGCTTTATTCCTTTTACATCTGCTTAAGATTCTAAACTGCTTATGTAGTATTGTGGAGGAACTTGACTTAAAATTTGTTTTATTGTTCGGATTCATTTCCCTAAAATATTGTAACTAAAGGGTTTGTTTCCCCACCCCCAACCCCCTCTACCCACCCTTTCTAGTCTTGTTTACAAGGAACATTTATTATACTTCTGAAAGGACAGTTTTTCTTGCTTTCGGGATTTGTAAGTCCAGCAAACGGAATGAAATGAATCTTGTAGTTATTTTAAATGTGGTCTGTGAAAATAAATGAGTAACCTTATGTGAAAATACTCATGCGGATACTTACTTGCCTTGGGCTATTTGTGTAAATTCAAGTACTATGCTGTGGAGGTTTCCTATGTATTTTGAATGTGTTGCTAGTGTCCTGGATAAAAGCCATGGTTTTATATAAAAAGTACATCATTTGTTACTTTGATTACTCATAGTTTAAAAACTTTCTTGTTGTCTACCAATTGTTTTTTTTTTTAAATAAAGCACACAGATACTAGAAGTTGGTCACAATTAAATTTAGCCTATATATGAAAACTTTTATTTCATAGACTACTCTTTTCTGTAATCCAGAACTCTGAAGAGGCAAAGTCCATGGCACTTTCCAAATGTCAGTAATAGAAAAAAGAGAGTGCAAATACAAGGAAAGTCATTTATTTAGTCACAGGAAGGCTTTTTTTTGAATTTGTGTGATTCCCTTGCTGGATGCTGCTAGTTCTGTCTGTGTGTCTCTCTGTTTTGACTTGTATCTCTATGCCCTGGCCCCCAGGGCTTTCACCAGGTGGAAACTTGAAATCAACATCTGTGAAACATGAGAGGATCCCGCTCCATTCAGCACCCTCCCCCCTTCCCTCCTCTAGCCCTCTAAGTATACAATTCCACAGCAAACACTCTTTTGCCTTGATGGAACTTCAAGGAATTAAATTCTTGAGTGAGTAACTAAAGGAGGGGAAAGGTTGTTATTAAATTACATTTTACCTCATTTCCCAAGCCCCAGCTCCCTAATTTTAACACCTTGCCCCACTCCTCTTTTCCTTGACATTTAATAAAGACAAACCCAGTAATTCTGATGGTTTAGAAAAAGACAAGTATTATTTTTCTCTAAACAATGGTGCAAACGATCTTCTCCCCTGGGTTAATTTTTTTCCTCTGATATTCTCTTATATGGCATTTATCTCTTTCTTCAGACACATAGTCACTTATTCTTAATATTATAGTTATTTATAATATCAAGTGAGGAAGCACATTGTGTTCATATTTGTAGAGTCTCTGTACCCAGCACAATCATGATATGTAATAAATTATCAAGAAACACATGAATGACTCCATAAAAACATTAAGAGCATTAGCTATGGACAACACCATGATTATTATTTCACCCAGCCCTGGTCGGTCTGCTCCTTATCAGAAACAATCCCGCCCTGCTGGTATGGCTCAGTTGGTTGGAGCTCTGTCCCATGAACCAAAAGGTCGCGGGTTCGATTCCCAGCCAGAGCACAGGCCAACATTGCAGGTTCAGTCCCTATTCAGGGTTCATAAGGGAGGCAACCAAACAATGTTTCTCTTACTTCTCTCTCTGTCTCTGGAATCTAAAAACAAACAAACAAACAAACAAACAAACACCAAACCCTACTAAAGTATATCTGAAAAATAACAGCAATAATTGTTGAGAGAGAGAGGAAGAAGAAGGAGATGGATAAGAATATTAAAAACAGAAAATAGAAAGAGGATGACAGAAGAAGACATAATATAATACATATCTTCTTTCTTACCTTTTACACAGCAGAACCATTTTGATTAAGGTTCATATTTCGGTCCTTCCCCCGATAGTAATGTGTGAACTCAAACAACTTAACCACTCTGAACCTTAGTTTTCATATCTGTAAAACAGGCAGAAATTATTACCTAATTTGTAATGTTGGACTGAAGATGCAATGATGCAATA